CCCCAAAACCCCAAAACCCCGAATAACAAAATTTAACACAATAGAGGGTTAACAAAAATTAAAAGAATATCTAAGATAAATCTATAGAATCTTAAGATTTATAAATTATTAATTAATAAATAAATGAGTATGATTGACAGCTATACACCAAATAAAATTAGTAATGGGCAAAAAAAGTGAAGATTTCTGGAGAAAAAAATCAGAAAATTAGAACACTTATAATACTCAGAAGACTTATCAATGTTAGTAACTAGAAACTATAAAACTAGGGATAGACAAATTAAACTCAATGAAACTAACATCTCAACTAAAACTGGTTAAACACCTAGATAAATAGCCAAATAACAATCTCAAAGATATAGAACTGATCATCAAGTAGAGAATGATAGGTTCTTACATGTAACTAACAAGGTTATTTAAATTAAAAATAAGAATTACCTTAACTAATCTTCAAAAATACAACCTCCCAACAACAACTACTAATATGAAGGAGGTAAAGAAGAATAAGATGAATCTGAAAAAATAGACTTTTTTTGAATATCGGTAAAGCTTGTAAGAGACTAATAAAATTCAATCTTTGGTTTTACAAACAAATCCATAATTTATCAAAAATCAGAGGGTACTACAATTAAAATACAATACAAATAATGTAATCCTTATCTACCTGCAATAACACCTAAACCCATTAATAAAGATAACACTGAAATAATACTAAAAGTAGTGATATTACAGTGGCTAATTTAGATCCCTCTAAATTAATAAAAATTTTTTACAAAATTCAAAGATCACTGTCAGAAAGGTAGTATACACAGCTAAAGATTCATAGATTCCACAAAACTATGGCTTTTGAAGTATTGTAGGGCAAACTTCGTAATAGGTGGTGCTTTTCCTCATGTAATAAGGGATCATAATGGCTGTAAATATGGACATTAGAGCAGCTCAGAGGTGAATATTTTGACTTGCATTAAACTATTTATGAATGGAACTAGAATTATCGAACGGAAATCTGTTCAGTAATTTGCTTGTTGCAGATAAGATCAACGAAAGTCTGAATCGAAGAAGAGATTTGAAGAAGGGAATTTATAATAGGTGCTATTGGATTTCATTTTATTGGACTGAGCTAGGTATCAAGCTTCAGTTAAAAACTGAGAATGTATTTGCATTATGTATATGATAAGACTAATAAATTTGAATGACTCGAAAGTCTTATTTGCCTATTAAATCAATCAATGGGGTTTTGGGGTTTTGGGGTTTTGGGG